GAACATAAGGTCAGTCTTTTCCCTTTAAACTCAAGAGAGTAGATGTTCTTTCGTCCGTCATGGACTAATAGCGGTCAAATTGCCACCGGCGCCCAAGTAGCAAATGGCAAGCATCCATGTATACAACCACACACGGTCACTATAATTATTGCTAATAGAAAAGCTCACTAGACATCGTTGTGTGACTGAAACCTCATTTTTTCTTTTTAGCCATGCAAGCTTGTAGGGGTGATGGTGTTGTTGAGTTTTTAGGTTCAGCTTGTGGATGGTTACTTCCACTATAACGTTCTCACAACTCCTGCTATCAATTACAAGGCTTGTAACTTTGCCACCCATAGTACACGTGTGAAAAATATTATTTTTTAGCCAATACGATGATTCATCCCTAGGAGTTAGGAATGAATGCTACATCACCAAAGCCTCTCCAACATCCCCATACACCATTTCTCCCTCTAAGGTTTCTTCATTTTAAGAGTCAAACACAAGAGGGGTTGAACAGTCAAATGCTTCTAATTGGGTTTCACTCTCATCTTCTACAAATATCACCCCTTTTCTTTTATCACCCCTCACATTCAACAGATTTATGGCTTGGTTCACCGCACTTAAAAAACTTTAGTCCAGGTGGACCCACGTAGTTTTGATTAGGTCCACGACCTTGGTTTTGGTTTAGCCCATAGGACTGTGGCTGAATTAGAGGCGGGTTAGGATTATTACGTGGGGGTGGTCTGGCCACATCAATTTGGGTTTGGCCCAATTGGTTAGGTTGACTGCTTTGCCTTTTTATGATTAAAGCATGTTGATGTGTCATAGAAACATCATAGTAGTCAAATAGGTCTAGTATATCCCGGATATCTGGTCTCGACCCACCTATATACCCAGCCACCATTTGGTCTTCGGTTTCAACTAACTCATTCCGGGCCATTAACAGATGAAGTTTCTTTGTATATTCATTTACTGTATCAATTCCTTACTTTAGATTTTGCAATTCTTGATAAAGTAAACGAATATAATTATGGGGTAGAAATTCTGAGTTTCTCCCATGTCTTAATCTTTTCCTTGCCTCTTCTCTGTCGCATAACCTTCAATTGATGCCACCATGCTGCTGCTCGTCCTCTAAACCGAGTGGTTATTAAGGACACGATCTTATTTTCCGGAACTTCCTTGAATTCAAGGATTTCTTCTACCACGAAGAGAAAACCCATGAATTCTTCTTGAGTCATGCCTCCTTGGAATTCTAGGATCTTAACCTTGAGATCTGCTTGCCACTGTCTCTGGTTACCACCCGCAACTATAGCCAATCTGGTTGCTTACATTGATGATGGAAGGGAACGTGTGGAGATACTTGCGTTAGAGTCGTTGTCTCCTGTTTCCAACCGGGAATGTAGTGATTTCACCTCCTTAGCAAGTGCCTCGACTTGTATTCTCAGCTTCGTTATCTCTCATTGTGTTTTGTCGTTGGGTTCTTGCTCCATGATGTGAGGTACTTGTTTCTTCTTAGGAGCCATAATTCGAAGAAGGATCAACTTCAAAGAAAAGAGTAGAAGTCGAATTTTAGGAAAAAGATTATTCACTAAACAATTAAGAGAAAATTGATAATAAGAAAACTGCCTTAGCCTTCTTCTAGCTACTTTTTATATAAACATACACCCTTATGTCTCCTATTCCTAATATGAAAACAATCCATAATAGAATCCTACTAAAACTCTTTAAAAAAGAAAATCCTAATCTAAGAAAACACTCCAAAATAAAATCATACTAAAATCTTTCAAAAGGAAAATCTTAATTTAAACAACCTCTTTAAACTGCATTAGTAAGCCTATCCTCACACCGTTTAAACAACCTCTTTCAACCTTATATTGAAAATATCTCCCCATAAAAAATAAAGCAAATAAACATGACGATATTCCCAATACAAAGCTGTAAATGCTGTTTGAATGGACTTTGCTTTGACGGAAGCTGAAATTATATTTAATGTATAAATTAAATATAAATAATGAACACAAAAATATTTATTTAAAAACTACTTTATCTTCTCGTAGGGGTCGTCCGCTAGTATTTATAACAATACAAAAATAACCTCAGTGAGTTTGATGGTAAAGTCTTTGGTGGCTATAGCCTATAGGGTCCCCATCTACCCCGTAACATGATCTATGGTCTATACACACATCTCAAATACGTCCCATCAATGTGTACAAAACGTCACAAACAGGCATAAATAGGTAAAAGCTAGGCTTTAGAGAGTCAAATTTAGGAAGATTTGGAGTTCATCCACCTTAGTAATTTTTACTATTAATTTTATGATTTTAAATCATAAAATAATAAAATTTTATATTTATTTTGGTAAACACAACATTTGATAACAAAATATTTGACAAAAAACTGCCGACCCTCCAAATAATTTCGGTGAAGTCGTTTTCAACCGTGGGGTAAAAAAGATAAATGAGACCAGGGTTCCTGAAAATAAAAAACAGGGACAACAAATTTCCAGTAAGGTGGCTATTTAGGTGAGTAATCGTCAACCACAATATACAGATGAAATCGGAATTGAAATCGAAATTAAAATCCATTGGAATTGGAATTAAAATGGCTATTCCTTCAATCTGTTTGAAGAATTGGAATGGATTTTTATTTTCATGGAAGGGAGGGAGAATGACCATTCCCTCAAATGGGGGAATGCCATTCCACTATGAATAGGTATAGGATTCTGGTTCTATCCAACCAAATGGTTGAAATTAGAATAGACCATTCCGATTCCAATCCTAAACCCCTATTCCCGTGAACCAAATGGATTCCTAATTATTTCTGGTTGTAAGGCTCCCTCTCATTCCCAACCCTCTCTCATGCCTTGAAGCGATATGACTATGAGCACTAAAGCCTCGAGAATACAAAACATACCGATGAGAGATGGTGGACCCCCTGAAGCTCCATTTTCTCAAGAACCCTCTTTCGCAGTGAAGCACCAAGAACCAAATATTGGTCTAACCCAACCTGGTCCAGTATGAGTCTCATAAAACTGTGAATACTTTGGACCATCAAGTCTGAACTGGTCTAATTCAATGTATTATTGGACCATCCAATCTGTTCAAATTGGTTTTATATTTAGATTGAATCCAACCCAAACCATTGACACCCGTACTTTTATCTATAATTTTGCCTTTGGATCGTTTTATTTTCTCATGGCAAAAGCAGAACCAAGAAAAAAAAAGGCTTGTAAGATCTCTAGAGAAAAGTAGGCCAAGACCATAATCCCTATCGTAAACCTTATTTGTATATTTTCCCTTTTGTCTAAGGTGGCGTTTGATAAATCTGAAATCTGAAAAGTTAAAAGAATATTGTCTGAAATCTGAAGAGACGGTTGCTTTTCGACTTTTTAGAAGCTYTGAATAAAGGTGGTTTGTGTTAGATCAAACCTTCAACATCTAAAATTCATTGATTTTACTATTTTACCCCTAAAATAGACTATTTGGTAATTTTGAGTTTAATTTGCATTATTTCATAAAATACATAATTTTTTAAGTTCAAAATAATATTGAAAAATATGACTAAATTATAAAAAATAAAAAAAAATTATTAAAATAAAAATAAAATTAAAAATACATATCAATTTATAAATTAAAAGTAAATTATTAAGAGTTAAAATAATAATGAAAATAGTAATAAAGACCATGAAAAAGTAAAAAGAAAAATTAATAATTATCAAATATCTTAAAACTATTAAAATATTTAATAATTAATAATTAATATAAATATAATTTATAAAAAATAAAAAATAATAATTAAAATAAGAATAAAATTGCAAAGAACCGCCGCTGTTGCTGAGAGTTGCAGCAGCGGTGTCTAGAAGACTGGAGAGAGAGAGAGAGAGAGAGGGGGGGGGGGAGGCAGGTAGCCAAATAGCAGCCCCAAGCTCCAAAGCTCACAGCGAGGAGGGACAACATGATAAGTCTGTCCAAAGAATCAATAGAAGGATCAAAACTGTAGAAATCTTTTTCATCTGCATCGTTTATCCTCACCAGAAAAGAGTCCTACTAGATAATCCGTTCTTTTTCTTTTGGGCCTTTCTTCTATGGTCCAGCCACGCATTTTGATTCTCGAACGAATCAACAGGGGAAGATTTTTAGTTGAGAGTTGTTAAAATCTCTCCCAAGGGCAAAGGCCTATCTAGCTAAAGAGGAGGGAAAAAAAGCAACAGAGGAGACCCCATTCCCATTCATGGCTTCAAGCAGCAGAGCAACCAATGCCCACCAAACCCACTCCTCTGGTGGAAGCAATATCAGACCCCACAACCATGCTGACCCCGTGAACAAGGCCATTGCCCAGTACACTATCGACACTCGTCTCCATGTCATCATAAAACAATCAGGTGAGTCCAATAAGTCCTTCGACTACTCTCAAAGACACGGCAATGCTGAGAGAGAGAGAAAACTACTGTTGCTAAGAGTTGTAGTGGCAATGGGAAAACGGAGAGAGATCAAATGAGACTTTTATCAGGTTAAAATAAGGGTATTTTCAACTTTAGGCCACGTTAGAAATGCATTTAAACACATTAAATAACAGGTCTTATAATTTCATATCTGAAAAAACATTTCAGATACAATACCAAAAGAGCCTAGTGTCTAAAAGGAAGATATTTCGGACGTCAAACCTCAGAAAAGAGTAATCAAACACCACCTAAGAAAAAATAAATAAATAAGTTTTTTGTTACATTAGTACAATTTATGGTCAAACCATAGTTAGACCCGTGATCAAATCACTGACCCAGACCAAAGTCCCTTTTACAGGTTGATGAATGGTCCGAATCTGACAACATTGCTACCCCCAATATGTAATCCCATAGAATTCGCATCGACACCCCACAGCATATCCCAACCGTATATTGGGAACATCTCTCCATGCAAGTTCCCAATGCACGGTAAGATGTGCATGTGGGGCGCGTTGTGGGATGCCAATCAGAACTCAGTCCCATAGCCAAAAAAGAAGAAAGAAAATTGGCCCAAACATACCGTTAAGTGAAGAGATTAATAGAAACCACCACACATGAGCACAGCAAACGATGAAGAACCAAAGTCCACAATGCCGCTAACAAAAGATCACCGAAATTAACAAGTAATGATGCATCTTCAACTCTGGAGTCTGGACTAGATGGAATAAATGGGGGTAGGAAAAAAAAAAAACTTTTTGCCAAGCTAAAGATGGAGTATAATTTAAGATTGAAAAGCAAGTTTTTAAACAATCCGCTCCAACTCCCTTGCATAACTGAGGGTCTGATTGATGAGTTGCAATGATGGTATCTCTTTGCAAGGTGCAGACTCTTTTGCCTTCTGGAAAAACACGGACCCGTTCTTTACCTCCCATTCAGGATGCTCCTGCAAAATTTTAGTATTTTTCAATCTTTTTCTTTTGGGAATGACAGTTGGTAATTCAACTTCATTTCATAATACAAGTAATGTCTATATTTTGTTCAGGTCCCATTACCAGAAAACACTTGGACGACCAGATAATCTTAACCACCCAACCCAGAGCAAAACTTGCGCCCAAAATTGGACCTTACTCTGAGTTATTTTGACAAATGGTTTTAGCAATACGAATGCTAATCAGAGCGCTCATAGACAAGTATGAAGATAATCTGAAGACTGATAATGCACAAGTCCAAACTAGAAAGCAAAGGCCGACATAAGCAATTTAAGGTGTAAATCCTAGACAACAGATCTCCTACACCTTTTTCCTCAACCTCCTACATGTGTGACAGTGTCCCATCACAGGTGTTTTCTAATATGAATGGCTATTTACACATTGTAGGAGCATGGAGTGTCAATGGTTGGTCCCTGAAAGTCCGAGGATTTAGCTAGACCACTAGAGTTGGTGGAGGAAGAAGATATGGGAGTCCCCTTGGAGATCAAGATTGTCTCATAAATATTTCTCTTTTCTGGACAGGAGATTTTCTACAAATTTTCATCTGTTAAGCACTTGGGCCATGTCAGCTTAAGTGGGCAAGTTGTTTTGCCAGCTGGCCATAGTAGAAAGTCAGGAAGTCACCTAATATGTGTGATATCTTCGCTGGTTGCTTTTTTGTTACCCAGGTTACCCTTGGTTTGGACATTAGACTGGGTCTATGTTGGGTTGTATACACACACATGTAAAGGGGAAACCTGTCACATACTAAGTTGAAGTGTAAGAGAAAGTTGAGAAGTGTAGGAAATCTGGTCCCCAAAGCCTAAACTAAGAGAAGCAGTGACATATAATCACTAGAAGCTTGGAATGACATATCACTCCAAACAGCTGATCTGGAATGAGACGCTTTTCTTTAACCAAAAAAAAAAAAAAAGAATGAGACGCTTTCTTTAGCAGTGTATTCACTCCCTAAACCACATTAACCTAGTAGCCTTCCATGTATGAGAGCTTTATACAAGTGATATTAGGTATTTTAAGATCCAAACCAATTAAAAGGCACTCAAAAGAGAAAAGAAAGATTTGCCAGATAGAAAAGGCTTTTATGCTGAAACTCGCCCAATGAAGGACTTCTATGAGAACATTTGAAGCTTGTTGTTGCTTATACTTGTCCGAATGACCTCTGAACTTTCCATGGAAAGAATAGCTGTTGGCCCGAAAGAATCCCATGTATTTTCTTCATTTGTGAGGTTAGCAAGGTTAGCAGCAGGCAGCATGTACTGCCTGAATTGGGGCTATGTTGGGTCCAAGTTTTAATGCTGCAGCCTTCTCCAGATGCAATCCTGTCAGACCTTATACCAGGTATATTATTTATCAATTTTAGCATAGGTCTAAATTGTGGTATGATGGTATTTCTGTAGTTCCAATTTTCCATAACCTGTGGCTCAAGTTCAAGTTATTTACATTTTACCCATACTATATTCATTTTCTTTAAGAAAAATATTATAGAAGAGTGCCATTATAGATACCCTTTTTGCTTTGGTAACTCCTGACTATGTCATAAAATGTGTTTGGACTTTCTATTTTTGGTAGTGAAATCCATGCTATTTGGACTTCATCTATTTTTTTCTTAATTCCTAAACTAAAAAAGGACACTACCCAGTGTTGGACCCAGCTATCTGGGGTCTTGGGAGTAGAAGACCGGATACAGACCTAACCTTTGGCTTTTTATTGCACAAAGTGTCCACTCTCAGACTCTAACCCACATTCGCACACTTGTAAGCCTGATATTTTAACCATTCCAAATTCATGAAGCTTTATAATACAAAAAGGACACTTCTACTTAGTGTGGGGAGTAAGGACTCTTGTGAGTTTCAAGGATACCCCTTTTAAAATTCACAAGACCACTTCACTCTCCATATTAAACAAAATACACTTTTCTGAAATATAGAGTTTCATGATGTTGGAAAGAGGCAGAAAACAGTTTATCCCCATCTATCCCCGTGAGTGTAAAGCATCTAGATTCATGATACACATAGAGGAATGCTGGCCATTCAACCTCAGATTTGAAGCAAACACGTTTATCATATTCAAGAAGGTTTATCTCTTTTAACTAGTAATAAGTTCATAGATTCACTCAGTTATTTAATGCTTGGCATACATAATCAACATGGCTTTCCTTCCACATTCAAGTAGCTTATTGCTAGTCTATTCTCAAGTCTGGGACCCACTCAACTTTTTTTTTTTTTTATCAGCACCCACTCTACTGTTAAGCAAAAGGAAATACCTAAACAGGGATCTGCAATATGATTTATTTAGTCCAAGCAGCACTGGGTGTGTTAAGGAGGAACAGCAAGAACACTAGGTGATTGTCATAGTGGCCTAGCCAGCTAGTCTAGACTCTAGACCTGTATGTGAAGGCTGATCGCTGGACTGCCTCTATATCCATGCTAAGCATGGCCTAAACCAGAAAATTACAACCCCTTTATTCATGGGGAAAATTTCAGCCCAAAAATGTGGATGTGGCTATAGAAATTGAATAGGTATCCAAAGAGAAGCAAATGGAAGTTATAATATAGGCATGCTAAAGAAGTACCTTGTTAGAAAGGAAACCAATACCCCTAATATTGGTTTTAATTGATTATATATAAATAGGGTTGCTTCTTTATCTTTTCATAGGGGATGCGCCTCATAACATGTCCCTAAATCAGAAGTCCATTATATGTTTCCATATTTGTGTACATGTCAACAAGACAGAAGGAAGTAGTTACCTCTGTAATGTACTCCAACAATTCTTGTTCAGAAGAAAACATTAACATTTGTCTGGCATCATCAATTGAAAGATGATCATATGCTTTTTCACTACAGCCAGCTATTTCATCTCTGCGATAGAAAAATAAGACAAAATTAGAAGAAAGTTAAGACTGTAAAAGTTTTGCCTCTTACAAAAGAACGTAAGAAATATTCCATTTCCAGAATTTAAATTTCAACCCTGAATAGCATTTGCCTCTACATGACTACATCAAGCTGCATTAGACCTTAGTCAAATTTCTATGCTTAAGAGGTTTCCTAAATGAAATTTAACCTGACTGGATGATTGCAAACATCCATGAACAAAATAGTCCTTCCCTCTGCAGTAATTCATATTTCTTTGCGGTCTAAGAAATCAGATAAATATCATCATCCGGGCAATCTTTCCAGAACTCATGGTGCACTAGCATGCTTTTGTCGGATTCCTTTAAGTTTCACAAAAAGAAATAGCCATTACTAACATACAAGTCAAAACGCAATACCTAACTGTCTTTGCCAGAAGATCCATGAAATAGAAGTAGGTCTCATGTGGCACCATTTTCCTGGCATCCAATACACGGTTGTAAGCTCCCTCCATGAATGATTGTTCCAATTCCACAGCATGCTTGATGCAGGGGTTCTCAAGAGCAGTCGTTGATATCAGCTCTAATTCAGTATGGAATTCTGCTATTCTATTTTGTACAAGGAGCCTCAGAAGGTTAAGGCCTAAGATTGGGTACTCTTGAGGAGATGATGAGAGGCGGTTACTGTTACAACAAAAGAAAGCCAGTTGTGAACAAACAATTCAAGTCAAGAAAAAGTTATCCCTACCATATGAAGAAAGTCCACTTGCAAACAAAATCCTCCTGAATTATAAGGTAGGGTTTTGGTTACAATAAAGTTGTCAATGAAAGAAATCCTTCTCAAGAGATAGTCTAAGTAGACAACTTTACTGATAGTCATGAAATCTAGTGACCAATTTGATTTCCTTATATTGGACAGAACATATAGAAATGGGTTGGTGTCAGAGAAGCCAGATACACCAAGCACCCATATATTTGATTTCGTATATTAAGTGGCACATCCTTGATATATATTATTAATTAGCAAATAATATAGAAATCTGGCATGAAATTACCCTGCAATATAAGGAGCAGGATAACTTATTATAAGGAGCAAAGTGAAAGAAGTCCCTCTCGAAGGCATGAAATTACCCTGTTTAACTTATTATAAGCAGTATTTTAAGTTGTGGCAAAGCTTAAAATGGAACAAATTGAAAGTTACCTTGCATCTGTATAATAAGGCTTCAACTGAAAGAAGTCCCTCTCGAAGGCATCTTGATCTTCTATCTTCACACTAAGAACAACTGCATGCTCATATATATCCCCTGAAAGTTCTCAAAGTCATTGCAGGTGGAGAGAGAATTGCTAAAACTGAATGGTATAAATGGTAGCAGAAGCAGATATAATCCCATGATACCCACAGAATATAGATTATGTATGCAAGCATTCAAAGTAAAACTTAAATATGTTCCCTATGTTGCCTTTATGATGCATACCAAGGACTATTGTTTCATAAATATGAGGATACTTATGAAAAGATAGAAAGAATAAACAGAAAATTCTCCAAACCAAGTTAAAACATGACATTCTTGGGCCTTCTAGTGCCTGAGATGCAAAGATACAAGGAAAGATGCACACCAGAATGAAATAAGGCTTAGTTTTTTGAAAAGAAAAAATAACATTAATACATGCATATATGGAAAACCTGATTTTTCAAAGAAATTAAATGTTTTAGAAAGCCTTTTAGATAAAATCTAAATACATAAGTATAACATAAAAAAAAAAATCAGAATGAAAGTAAAAGCAAATAAATTTGGATAATACCAAGGCCCAAAGTGCTTCAAGCATGTAAAACTCTCAATGTGTTTGTCCATCTCCTAGTTGCATTACTTTTTTTTTAAATAAAAGTAGTGATATTGTATTTAATACCTAGAGTACATGAAAAGGCGAATACGAAAGATAGAAAAGAAATGATCGACCCAAAGGGTTACCCTGGCAGAGATCTGCCACTATACAAAGAATCCCTCCCAGATCTAGCTTTAGCTATCCTATCTTCCATTGAATTAAACCCCTTTGGGAACTACCTTGGGGCTTGGACAGGCTTGCAGAAAAGAAATAGTCTTTGATCTCATTCAACAAGTACGCCAAATGCTACTATCAAGTTAGACGTACTGCATTCCTAATCCTAGGAGGTCGGTGCTTTCACAGAGGTGGAGGGCCAATAAACTTGGATCCAGAGCAAAGACCTCTTGAGGTAAGCCCAAAAAAGCCCATATAGGACACATTTGCCCATATATAAGGTGTTGGTTTTGTGATTTTGGATACAGTTCGTTCTATCTTAGGGTTAGGGATTAGGGATCAGTTGTTGTTGTTTCTTTAGTGGGAAGTTTGCTATTTAAGATCCAGCCCACAAGAACTAGGGGCTTAGCTATTTAAAAAGTCTTCTTTTTTGTTTCTTTTAAAAGTATATAGATCATTACTAGGGCACAAGAACCAATAAGGGTAAGTTTAGTACTTAATAAATCATTACAAAGATGTAAAATACATAAGAATATATATAAAAAAAAAAAAGTAACCAAAAAAGAAAATTTATAAAACACACATGCCTGATCTGAAGCCTCAGGTGCACCAAGGACGTGTTTTTTGAAAGGGGCATTGCCTGGGTACAAGCAAATCACATGCTTTAAAATGCACCTAGGCCCGTCTTTGAAAAAAATGAAACATCTTTTTTTTTGTTAAAATATTATTATAATTTAGGGGGGCATTGCCTAAATTAAAGTCATTTGGTAAAATCCTTTACACATGAATCAACACATTTTGTTATAACTAATTTTTTAACTACCTTAAGAACATTGTTAATTTCATTTCTTTAGTGTTCTAGTGTTTCATTGCTGAAGTTTATGACAGATGAAACAATTGAGAATTTTTCTAATACTTCTATTGAGTACTGAGAAAACTGAAATTTGTTCTTCTAAATCATACATCAGGTGGAAGCAATTCTAGGAATGCACTTGAGATAGAATAAGAAAGCCAACGATTTAATTTATGATTAAGTGCGGACCAGCATCCAGTAATATGACAAAATTAACATGTATTTTTTTTGCTATAATTAATATAGTATCTTTTCTTAATAATTTAATTATTTTGTTTTAAGAGTTGGAACAAAATTTTCAAACAAATAGAAGTTATACAGATGTAATTTGGTTTAACAGTTGGACCTACATAGATGCATAACTGGCAGGAACCCCAACTACATAGTGCAGCAATCTTATAGTTGGCATCAAAAGATACTACCTATTATAACATTACCAAGGCTTCTGTTTCTTCTTTGTAGTAGTCATCTTACAAACAACTTTGTCAGAAAAATCAAAATAAACCCATGTGTCCAGGGGATTCAAATTACCAACACAAAATTGCATTGTTCTGTTAATTCATTCATACCATAATTATGGAACAAAAAAATAATGGATGCATGATTGTGTCAGGAATATTACTTGCAATCGTCAATTCTTGAACAGCATTAGGTGATTCTTCAAACAAAGGGGGAAGGCTTCTAAATTCTGTCAATAAGACCTGCATTGCAATAAAAGTATTTTGATGGTGAGATCAGGAACCTTGCAGACAAAAGAAATCATAGTTGAATATAGAGTGGAGAGAGTTTGGGGGAGGGTTCCAACACTCTGTACTTCTAAACAATATTTAATACTTATAATTTAGTTGAACTCACAAATGCTCATGTTACCATGTCCCAGATTTGTTTTGTATATCATGATCAATGGTATAGAAAACATCCCAGGAAAATCTTGTTAACTCTAACGTTCTTTCAACCTCAGCTTGAAACCACATAGTCAATTTCTATGTGCAATTATCTTAGGAAAATGGATCTGCAACATTTCCAAGAGAGTTTAGCAGGGTTATTGGCGCTCAAATTTTACATTTTTAGTCTGAATTTATCATGAACTTGGATAGTGTGACTGATTTCTACATTCTGAAGTTTTAGACTTAGATGGTATTAACTTCCCACCATGGTTGATCTCCTAAACCAATAAATGAAAAGAAAAATACATGACGACATGGATTTGGTTTTGATTTCCCGGGATTGAGATTCTAATGTTTTATGGCCTGAATCGTATAAAAATCCCCAGGATCTAGAAAAAGGCATAAGTGTTTCCTAGCTTAAGAACTTTGCCGAATCGAAGTCAAGCCAGACCACAATTAAATCATCAATAGCACTATCCAAATCAGAACCAAAAGCCTTTGAATTGTTGTTTACCTTGAGTTGCGAGAGGAGCTTTGTGCAAGTATCGAAGTCATTCCTTATAAAAGCTGCTTTTAATCTCTCGAACAGCTGAGAAACCTCCGTAAGCTTCGAATCCATCTATCTCGTACAGAATCAAACCCTAGAAGTCCTCCTAACGTGCTTATACTCTCGCTTCTAATTCTCTTGTTCGCACTGCAAATCTCTCAACAAAACGAAAAGAGACCACGGCACAAGTGAGATGGATGTGTTGAGTAAGGGGAAAAATAAGGAACGAGAGAGAGAAAAAGAGAGAAGAAGAAAGAACTATTTGAAGACGGGAATTTACGAAGCAAAGAATCTCCGCAAACTAATGCCCAAATCTCCCGGATCTACCACATTTGTTATTTAGTCCAACTAGGTTAAAAATGTAATTTTAATTAATGTGTTTTATCTCATTTAATAATTCTATTTAAGGCTCATTCTTTTTTATTAAATCTCATATTTAAATTATTTTTTACTAATAAATGCTATTAATTAGATTTATGTCTAATTGTTTTTAAGGGAAAATTTCTTAAAATACCCTTATGGTTTAGCTAATTGACTAAGCGTACCCTTACTATTTGAAAATTGGCTAACACTATCCCTACTGTTTTTCACAATTGACTAATACCTCTCTTACCATTAACATAACAATGAAAAAGACTATTTTACCCTTTATTTTTCTTCAAAATTTTAAAATAAAACAAAGAAACAAGAAATCAAAACCCTAACCACATTTATGGGGACACATTTGGAGCTGGGCAAATATGGGTGACTCAATGCAGAGTTGTTAACTGGGTGCAGAGGGGTTATCGAGCAAAGCCATCGCCGTTCAACCCAACTGACGAATTCAGATCCTCTTGAGGAACAAGTCTTACCCTCACCCCAAATGCCGGTGAATTTTACTTGACCCAGTGTAGAGTTGTTAACTAGGTATAAGCTTCATCGTATCCAAGGGGTTGAACAACCTAGTGCAAAGTACACCTCGACCCCTTTTGAGGAACCCCACCTTCCCCGTCTTTGGGATGCTGTTGCAGAGTTGTTAACGTCAGAACTTTGTTCTAAACCTCTCAACATGAAATTCAAATTCCTTCCCACATGTAGTCTTAACAGTACCTGGAGATCGAAAAGTCGCAGAAAATCAGAGAACCAAATGCAAAAAGACAATGGTGTTCCCCTACCTCAAGTTAAAGAACCTCAAGTTACAAAACGATCGAAATTTCGTACTCCTCAATTCCACTTCATGCTCTTCAAATTCTAGCTTCGGAGGTGGGTTTTCTTCTTCGGAAGAGGAGTTCGTTTACTGAGTTAGATCATCGTCATCATCTAGAGAGAGATTCAATTCTACAGTAAAAGCCTCCAAAAAACGAAGGCGATCGTTTCATCAAGACTAAAACCAAAGAACTAAAGCTAAGATCTAAAGAAGGTGAAGCAACCGACCAATCCAGAGCACCCAAGCAAGCAACCCCTAGAGGATCCTATGTTATTCGACCCTTGAAGGCCAGCAAGGCCAGCCGGTTTGTTTCATTTCCACCAACACTGGTGCTGGTACTGGAAGCAGTAGCAGCAATGACAACGAGAATAAAAGAGGGAAAAGAGAACAGAGAGAATAAAAGAAACTAGAACCGTTGGAATCTTCGCCGCTGGAACCACCACTGCCAACCTTCACCGTTGGAACCTCCGGTGCCTAGTCGGAAGCCCCAAAGTCTACTTCCAAATCATTTGTCCATTGGAACTCCTCCAATAACTACAAATTCAAAGAGAGATGCAATTGTGGTAGTTTGGACTTTGGGGTCCGCCGTTGCAGCGGACCCATCTCTTGCCACCTGTACAACAAAGCTATTGTCTCCTCTGATAATCCTTGTATTGGTGAAAAAGAAGGGGAGAGAGAGAAAGAGGGGGAGAAAGGTGAAGGGTAAAATTGGGTTTTAAAAATATATATATATATATCACGTGCGAATGAGTTTTGGCAAAATATTAACGGACCTTAACGGTAAGGGTAAAGTTAGTCAATTGTTAGAAACAATAGGGGTAGGATTAGTCAATTTTCAAACAATAAGGGTACACTTAGTCAATTAGCTAAACCATAAGGGTAGTTTAAGAAATTTACCCTACTTTTAACAATATAAGCCTTTATATTTTAAAACTTACTCAATAACAAAATCATTCTTTATCCAAGTGATGAGCTAAGCAATTCAACCATCCGAATCAAATTGATCAATTCATGAAATCATAGTTATATAATAAAATTTTTAAATAGAAATAAATATAGAAAATTACAAAAATATAGAAAAAATAGACACATTTGTGATATTTTTATTAATATAATTAAAAAAAACAAGTATAATAAAAAAATATTTTTATTGATGATGAAAATGAAATACATAATCTAAATCTAACAAAAAATGAAATTATTTTCCTATTTAACGGAGATCAATAATTCAATTGTTGTGTGAAATCTGTCAACTTTTAATGTCATAATTAAATAATAAAATATAAAAAATACAAAAATAAAAATACAGAAAATTTACAAAAAAAAACATTTGGGCACATGTATTATATCGTATATTTATCATGTTAAATAAAAATTAGTGTACAAAATAATATTACTTTTATGCACATAGAAATAAAAAATATACAAAATTTTGAATACATCTATAAATCCATATTTACACTACTATTAAAAATATGAATAAGATTGTAAAACTTTCTTTTGACTAAAATACTCATTTTTTTAATTTAATCACTATTTAATTGTGAGGTTTAAAATGTAGTTTGAACCACAAATTTCACCCCATTCAATTCCCTCTCTTTAAATCTTACATTTATTTTTGATAAATGAACAAAAAAAATATACACTAAGAAGATGAAACATTACAAAAAGAAGAGTCCAGCCAAGTGGATAGGCCTATCAACGATACCCGAAACTTTGCAGCCCAATTTGATGTGCTTATGTAATTAGATTTCAGACTTTGCAATTTGCATCTAATTAATAGTGAAAAACAAAAAAAAATAAAAATAAAAATATAGGATTTTTTTAGAAAATTTTGGATGCATTATTCCTATCAGATTCAGATTGCCACGTGCAAAGTACGTGAATACTTACTAGTTATATATAAAAGTGTGAATACAATGTGAAACTTATTTTGGACTAAAATTACCCTCTACTTCTTTGTTTGATAAAGTTGATAAAAGTCTTTTTATTACATCTTTTATGGTTACTAAAATGTCCATAATTGTGTATTTACTCCATCTCTAATGGTAAGGTTGAATATGTAACTTCAATTATTACTTCCTACCTCATTTAATCCTCTCTCACTAAGTCTTATACTTAAATTATTAACTCTCATTTTCTCTTATTAAATTAGAGTTGTGCCAATATTTTTAACAATATAAACCCATATATTTTAAAACTAACTCTAAAACAAAACCATTTTTAATCCAATTGGTGGTTAAGCAATTCAATCATCCAAATCAAATTGATCAACCTATGAAGACATAGTTAGGTAATAAAATTTTTAAAATATAAATAAATATAAAAACTTACAAAAAATGTAAAAAAAATTAGACACATTTATGATATTTTTATTAGTCACATTGAAAAAAAATAAGTGTAATAAACAATAATTATTTTTATTGATAATGAAAATGAAATACATAATTTAGAACTTACCAAAAATGAAATTATTTTATTGTTTGTAGGGGTGTAAATGGATCAAATTCGAATAGGATCAGGCAAAATCCGAATTCGAATCCAATTAAAAAATTCGATATCCGAATTCGATTCAATATCTGACGGATATTGAAAATTAATATTCAAATTTTAATCTGATTAAATATTTGAATATTCGATTTGATTCGAATTCGACCAATTAATTATTTTAGGTAATTAATAAATATGTAAAATAAATATTTTATTTATATAAGGTATATAAATATATAAATTATTTATACAATTTAATTATTACACATATAAAAAATATAAAACATTTAAATATTTCATATATTAGATATAAGAATTAAATAATTGGTTGAATTCGAATATTTATCGAATCAAATCAGGTCATATCCGAATTCGAATCTGATTAGCTATTCTGTATGAATAGGATATCCAAATTTGATCGATTAGATATTCGAATTATTTGAATTTGATTTGTTGAATCTTGAATTAAAAATCGGATTTCCGAATACTATTGACACCCCTAATTGTTTGACAAAGATAATAGTTCAAATTTTGGGTCAAACATGTTAATATCATATATTTATCATATTAAACAAAAAGTATGTGTGACATATTAGAATTATTTTTACACACAAAAATACACAAAAAAGTTATAGAAAAAGTTGAATACATCTCTAATTCTATACGGTGTTTTCAACCCACCATTGACCCAATCGGTTGAACCTTTTGAACTATCACCCAGTCAGGATTTTGGGTCCAGATCAATTAAAACCTTTCAGGCGGTCAAAAATCATTGACTTGGTCAAGAATCGTTGGACCCAACCAGTTCAACTGTTGACCCGTTCGACCCGGTCACCAAGTCATGGGTTGCACACTCAATACATGACAACTTTCAGAGGCCATAACTTTACACTTCGATATCTGATTGGGGTGATCTTTTCTTTTTATTTTGGGTAGTTTTTCGACATTTATTCGTCCCAAGGCGCCATCCCACTATTTTTTGCAAAAAGAAGACCCCTTTTGGCCTTAAATTGCAAATTTTAATATTTTATAAATAAAAAGAATAAAACTGAATTGAAAAACATAAATTAAATATAAAAATGCATATAACATATCTAAAACATAATTATACATTATTTATTGATAAAATATATACTTATACATATACATATACATACACACATTATATATATATATATATATATGTGTGTGTGTGTGTGTGTGTGTACGTGACTTGCAACCTGAAGGCAAAAATGGTTTTGCCTTTGGTCAATTTTTAAAACATTGATTCTATATTTAAACTACTATTAAAAATATGAATAAGATTGTGGAACTTTCTTTTGACTAAAATACTTATTTTCTAATTTAGTTCCTATTTAATTATGAGGTTTAAATTGTAAATTTAACTACTACTTTTCACCCCATTCAATTCCCTCTATTTAAATCTTATGTTTTTTTTTTTATAAATGAACAAAAAAAAGATACACCAACAAAGTTAAATTTTACAAAAAGAAGAATCTAGCCAAGCAAGTAGGCCTATCAATGATACTTGAAACTTCACAACTCGATTCGATTATCACATATTTGGATGAGGTGCTTATGTAATTAGATTTGAATTTTCAATCTGCATCCAGTTAATAATAAAAAATAC